TAGTATGGTTCTCATAATCTCTCTCTTGCTATTCTTAAGTCTTCTTCATCTTTTTTAACCATCGTCATTGTTTCCCCTGCATATAATAATATTGGTCTATTTATGGTGTTATAAATGCTCATCTTACTTTTTTTAGTCAGTGTTTTGCTTTTAAGTAATCTTTTGTTTGCAAAATAAGCTTTATTCGCTGCTAATATTTTTTCTTTTATTTCGGATTTCCTTTCTCCGGATTTACTTATTGTAACTCCTAGGTATTTGAAGTAACTCAGAACTTCCTATTTTGATTTTTTCCTTCATTGGTTTTTTCCCTAATCTTAATATTTTTGTCTTTTCTTGATTTAATCTTAGCCCCATTACCTCCCCTTTCTCTCTAATTTCTTCAAGCATTTCTTTCATTATTTTTCTGTTCTTTGCAATAATAGCAATATCGTCTGCATATGCAATTATTTGACCACTTCTTGTTCTGAGATTTCCTTTATTTATATTTCGCAGTACATATACTAAGGCTAGATTAAATAGCGTTGTTGATAAGGCATCTCCTTGTTTCATCCCTTTATTTATACTGAATTCCTCTGTCTCTCCTCTTTGTGTCTTTATGCTTATTTTTGTAGTTCTCATTGTCATTCTATTAATTTTCTGAGTTTATGTGGAATTTTTAATTTTTTAAGTGATATCATTAATACATTCCTTTTAATTGAATCAAATGCCTGTTTGAAGTCTATGGATAACATTTCCAATTCTAATTTATACTCGTTTGCTTTTTCCATTATTTGTTTTATTGTGTGTATTGCGATCTATTGTGATCTATTGTAGATCTTCCTTCTGTGAATCCACATTGGTACTGTCCTACTGTTTTCTTTGTGATCTTTGATAACCTCTTTTTTATTATTGATGTCAATATTTTATATGTTGTATTTAGTAATGTTATTCCTCTATAATTTTCACAGATTTGTTGGTCTCCCTTTTTATGTACTGTTATGATCTGTCCTACCTCCCAGTAACCTGGCATTTTCTCTTCTTTCCATATATTTTTCAATAGTGCCAGTATTTTTCCTCTTAGTTCCCTTCCCCCGTATTTTATTAGTTCCATATTAATTCCATCTTTACCAGGGCTTTTCCATTTTTGCTTCTCTGTATTACTTCATCCAATTCCTCTAATGTTGGTTCTTTTGAAATTTCGATGTCTATTTTATCTGCTTCTTCTTCGTGTACCGTTTCCTCCTCGTTATACATTTCTTCTTCTGTTGTTTCCTCCGTCAAGAGCTCTCTGTAGTAATCTCTCCATACTTGCTTGTATTCTGTCCCTCCCAGCGTAATTCTTGCAGTGCTGCAATATCTATTTTATACTTTTTGAGTTATTTTCCTATTTCTAGCATTTTTCCTGGAGCTAGCATAGTTCTTATGTTCCATGTGATCTTTATTTTTTTTGTTCTGTTGTCTTCGTCCTTTATTTTTGTTTTCTTGTCCATCTTTCTTTATTTCACTTTTGTTGTACCCGGGTTTATCTGCAGTCATTTCCTATTTCTTTGCCTCGTCCGTCAACGAATAATGCATCCTCTCATCCCTTGCTAGGTTTTTGAACCACCTCCATGATGGTCCTCCAGCTGGTTGGTGTTTCTATTCCATCTCATTTCTAGACCATCTATTATAAGTTTGTTGGCTTTAATTTGGACACGTTTACCTTTCTTTATTTCATATTTTGCTATTCTTCGTATTTCCTTCTGTATTTGTAATTCCGCTGTCGTTAGATCATTGTTTATATATATTTTTTCTTTTTTCACTTCTTTTCATTTCACAAAGTTTACTTTTGTTTTCCATAATTTTTGTTTTTTCTTCTTTGTTTGGCAATCTGACTAAACATGTTTTATCTCCTAGGTTCACTCCACCGATACACATATTATACAAAAATATATGATACATTTTATTTTGTTCTCTAGGAAATATCTTTAGTTAAATTGAAAAACGGTCAACTACATCCCATTATACGGTAGTACATAAGAATAAACTTCTTTTTGGCGCGGTTTCCTTGTTTTACCGTTATATTTTTTTAACACAAGGGTAAAAAAGATCGTATTTCTCATTAACCTAAAAGTATTAACGTAAATTACCGCTTGTTTTTTGCCCTGTACTAGCACACCTTATAATCAAAAAAACACTTCGAAGAAAACAACTTCATCCAGCCATCTCGAGAGGATAATTTAGATTTAAGTCCGGAAACTCGATGCCGAGCAAGAGAGATCGATGAAACTACATAAGTAATATCCTAAAAGGGCTGTTGGAGAAAATCGATCCTGCAAACCGAGACAACTTTCTGAAACGGCATTTTCGCCATCAGTTGGTCTCAACATTGTTTATTTTCATCAGTCGATAACAGTGACATCGTAAATAACAAATATTGCCGAATCGGGTTGTAGTTAATGGGTTTAAAAGCACCTAAAAAAAACTTTGGCATCGTGCCAGTAGTTGGACTGATAAAAATCTTCCCTTGAGATATCGATACGTCAAAAAACAATAGGTGCATGAAATATTGGAAGATTGTAATCATTAATTTTATTTGAAGGGGATAATTCTTTTTATAATAAAAGTAAAAGATTTGAAATTCTCTGAAACAGTTCAATTTAATTAAAAATTGTCTTTCCCTAAACGTGCAGTGTTGCAAAACCAATAATTATTGACGTGAAAAATAATAAGGGGATCAATAAACAGTGAAGACACTTTTGAAAAGTGACCTCAAAAATCTTGACGAATTTTTTTTATATTTTTGGGTCTTAAAAACGCTCACAAATTAGTCAATAAATATTTAAAAATCCACTAGGAAAGTAAGTTCCCGTAGCTGGCTGTATACCATAATTTTTTTGTGATATATTATATCACAAAAAATTTATTTCAAATCCTTTATAAAAGGTATATAATAAAATGCCCAAACGGTCTATCACAATTAAATTACAAAACGTTTTCGGATTGTTAAATCCATCATCAGTGTAAACGAGGTATACATGCTATGAGCCACCAAAATATATGGGTCAAAACCCTTTAAATGTTATAAATTTACAGTTGTTTTACATTATATGTAGTTACAAATTATGATGTTTAAGTTACCGTTGAAATTGGTAACATGGCAACGTATGACCCTACATAGGTAAAATGGTCCTGAGACGAAGTGTCTTCGAGGACCTGTTGATAACAACAGTTATCAACAGACACAATTTCATTCATCACATTAAGTACGGATAGTTAAATATCAAATGCACTGTATTTATTGATCTGAAATAAAGTTTATATTGAAATCAAATGAGCCTCAGAATATTTTTTTTCATTTTTTGTCGTATCCTAAATCGCTTCAAGGGTTGGTGTGCCTCGAAATATTTTTAACCCTACAAGCGTGCCGCGACTAAAAAAGTTTGAGAACGACTGGTCTAGGCTTCTATTCTACGTTTCGGTGGTATTTGTTTATCTGGTCAAGCTCAAACAACCTGTTTATGCCATTAGAGTACAATTTCCTTGCAACTGTCTGGCCGCTTCCTCTGTATTTTCGTAGAATGTGCATGAAGTTTTGTCAATTTTACAGATATGGTACAGATGCAGTGTCCAGTGAGAACTTCATTGCAGTTTGCTGAAGATCTAGAAGTATTATTGTCTGTACAAGGAATTTCATAAACTTTCCTAGTGCATACTGCTCGCTATCTTACATAGGCCAAAGCAATCGAAAAATCCAAAATAGAATCTATGAACATTCCAATTCCGTTGCCTTAAGCCAACATCATCTTCATACAGGTCAGAAAATTGATTTCTATAAACCAATAATTATCTGAGAAGCCATAGAAATCGAAAAACTGTTTCAATAAAAGAGATGACATCATTCAATTACCTTCAACATAGAGATCTCTTATCGCCCCCCGTCCCAAACAGTATTACTACAATGAAAGGTGTACAAGAGAAACTCTGATGAATACTTTAGAGAATAAGTCGAAACCTCGATGTCCTCAAATTCGACACGGGAATTTAAAGTTTTTGTTTACAACACGATAAGTACACGTTGGAGGGTTATGAAACTTTGCAGAAGGTTTACTTAAATAATTTCCTATTTCCCTGCCAGAGTTTTTCAGAGTTACAAACGTTTTAAGAAGGTGGCAAAAGATGTTGAAGATGACGGGCGTACCGGGTGACCTGTGACTTAAAAAAGTGGCCAAAATGGTTCAACGGCGATTAAGTGTTAGTTCCGTTCCTGAACATTTGGACAATGAAAAAGAAACTGTAAGATAAATTTTACATAAGGAACTAAACATGATGAAAGTGTAAACTAATAGCTTTAACACTCTGGAATTCATCGAAGAACTCAGACTTCTTGTCAAGGTTCATAACTTGTGACAAAACACGTATTTTTCAATATGACCCTGAAATCAAGCGGCAATTCTTGTAATGGAAAACTTAAAACGCTCAGAGGATCAAAAAAGTGAGGAATAGCAAGATATGTTGATTGTTTTCTTTGATATACAGATTATATATAAAAAAACGCAACTGGAGGCTGGAAATGCAGACAGGGAACTCCTGGATCCTCCGCCATAACGAGCCAGTTCATAAAGGCTCCCTCTTGGCCAAAAACCAGGTCACAGTCATGGATCATCCGCTCTATTCGCCAGATTTATAACCCTGTGACTTCGACCTGTTTCCAAAAATTAAATCCTGGTTGAAACCGCCTCGAGTCGTCAGAAGGCGTAAAACTGTGCAGCCCTGCTTAGCACTTTCGCATTTCCATGTGAAAGCACATTGTATTAAAGGGGAAAAATGAAAAATTTATTTACTAATTATAAAGTTAAACACTGGTTTAAAAGAAGTATAAGACTAAGCAATTCTATTTAATCTACAACATATTTTTCGTCTGTTCATTCTCGTGTTTTACTATATATTGATGTACTTTTTCCTTTTACAAATACTGATCCAAAAACAATAAATTAACACAAGCTACAAAATCGTTATGTTTATTAGAGAAAAAATACTACCTTAGCAGTTTCTGCGTTCGGGCAAACGATATGCTGGTAGTTTATGTTGATGTAGTCCGTTCCGCTGCATATCGTAAGAGATTTTTCCTCCACGTCTTGTCCATGTCTGCTTACCAGACTATTTAGAATTTTTGGATCTTTTGGTAGACCCCCGGCTCGAATGTCGCTGACCTGGCATAATTCGATGACATCTCCCTCCTGAAAATTGAAACACGTAGATCAGTAAATTAAATTAATCACTTGAAGAAATATTAATATTTATCGAATTAAGTCTAAAAGCATGGGCTGTTGTTGGATGGATAGAGTAGCTTAACAGGAGAGCCAGTCCGAATCCCGAATAAAAGAAAATAATCCAAACATTTTAATTATAATTTAAAAATGAAGAACAGTAATGTATAATCAGTAAGAGATAAGCAATCCACATTACCATTAATGTCGTAGGATTTCTCAGAAATATGTCTTTGAGTCGAAACGACTTGTGATTTGACATAAAGCGGAATTATACTCTTATTTCTGGGCGAGATTCCAATGTGAAAACATTACTGCCAGCGGGTCCCAAAAGATATGAAATAGTTAAGATATAGTCTAAGTTTTATTTCAAGAATTTTCGTTCGGTTTTGAAGATATTATTTTTGTGGTTTTAATTTGGAATTATGGTTTTGGTTGTTAATTTGGATTCCGTCGTAATTGGGCCCTTAAACTAATTTAATATTACCCAGATCTTTAAAATGATTTATTGTAAAATTCCTTCCCTTTCATTAAGAAATATTTTATTATAAAAATATTAACAATAAATTATTCTCTAATAATTTTATTTAGATTTTCTATTCTGAAAACCATATAATTATTCAAATTGACCCAAGGTCCTAGCAAATTTCAAATCATTAAGTTTTGACAGCACCAAATCAATATCTTGTACGAACTTTTATCTCTTTCTACAAGTTTAAAAATCTTGGTTTGTTTTTTGGCGTTCCTTTTTCGCTACATAACGAGAACGGAAATTAATAGGAGTTACATATTTTTTAAACGAGACGGACTTTGATGGAGAAGAACTAGCAAAATGGACGTAAAGCATAAAACTAGAACTGATTCGTGATTCAAAACAGCTCGTGTATTTCTACAGTGGAAGATGACGGAGAGGTTACAACCCATTTTGTCAGCGACAGAATTGGAGATCAGTTCCACCTAAAAACCTAAAAACAAAACATAGATCAACAACACTTGCCTTTCCAACGCGGCAATCAAATACGAAATTGTTTCTTTCGAGAGAAGGTTCAATTTTAAAAAAACCAAAATGAAAAAATTTCTCTGAAGCCTTGAATCAAGAAATTTTTCACCTGGAACCGTGTCCTATGTCATATGATAAGTTTATGCAAATATAAAAGGCACAAAATGCTAGCAGTAAATGAAGTCGAAATGATTACCATTAAAATATAATATAAAGACGGATTTTTGTTTCAATACAGAGCGTTGGCAGCCGCTTATACGTATTTCGACATCTTTTAGATATCGTCAGGGCGGATCTCTGGATCGAAACAAAATCTATTCCCGTCTTAGATAATAGTTATAAAATAACTGTATACGGACGTAACTACGCCATCTAATAACAAAAAGAAAAATGAAACGATTTCTACCTGACCAAATCGAATTCAAATTTTGACCACCATATTTTATTTCTTTACTCCGTTTGGAGTACCAGAAATTGAATTCACTACGAATTTTGACCATGATAAACGACATGTGGAATGCAATCTTAGATTCCCTTGTTGAGTTATTTATCAAGCTGTTTGATTTGCAAATTTTAGAAAGCAGGTGGTCAAAATTTGAATTCGATTTCGCCAGGTAGAAATTCTTTGATTTCTCTTTTGTGATTACTATTACTAAAGATCTTAAGTAATGTTCATAGACAGAGCAAATAATAATCTGCCGCACATTCCCAGACCAAGTAGCAAATTTCGAAGTGGTAGAAAGATTTTTATACTGGGGCTCCTTGACAATGGCGCGGTCATGTAACTAGAAGAAGAGCATCTTTTTCTGTCATATGCAGTTGCCTCTTCCAAGTCTCTTGCCGCCCTTGCTTCATCAATATCGTTGCGCCAACTTCTCCGTGGTCGTTCTCTCTTTCTTCTTTCAGGAGGGATCTATTCCAGTACTCTTCTAAGCCATCTGTACTCTGGCATTCTTTTAACATGTCCGAACCAGATTAATTGTTTTCTTTCTATGTCATCATTGATATTTCGCTCCATTTTCATTTCGTTTCTTATTTGTTCGTTTATAACTCTCTACAGTTTCGATCTAGCGCAGCTTCGTCTCAGATAATCCATTTCTGTCGTCATAAGTTTGTTTCTATTAGCTTTGGTGACGTCCCATACTTCCGAACCGTAAAGTGTAATATTTTGGACTATACTACCGTAAATGTGTTTTTTGGTTTCTCGTCGAATTGTTTTTTGCCAGAGAAGAGAGTTTAAGGCACGGGTCGCTGCTCTGCCCTTGTTTATTCTTTCCCTAATTTCATCTGCACTATTTCCCTTCTTGTTGAAAATGACCCCCAAATATTTGCAGGATTGCACGCCTTTGATTTTGTCGTCTTCCAAGACTAGGTCACATATTTCATCTGTTCCCACTGAAAGATATTAAAATTTTGTCATATTCATGTTTACACCTACCACCTCATATTCTTCTTGCAGTTTTCTTACCATATGGCTAAGATCGTAGCTGTCTTCGGCAATTACTATCTGGTCATCCGCAAAAAAAGTGTATATAGCGTGTTTTCTTCCACCGTTATTCCCATGTTTCTACATTTTTTACCGTTTTTACTAAGGATATGTCCAAATATATTTTAAATAAGGAGGGTGACAGACAGCAGCCTTGTCTTAGTCCCTTTGTTGTTTGAAAAGGAGAGGTGATTTCTTGTCCCATTTTAATTCTTGCAAAGTTTTGTTCGTATTATTTTTGAGTGGCGTTAATAAGAATTGGGTTTATTTTCAAGTTACCCATTTCTATCCATAGTTTGGAGATCGGCATGCTGTTTTTTTGCTTTTTCCAAATCTATATGGGTTAAGTAAAAGCTACATGGGTTTCTCTATTTCTCAGCACTCGTTTTTCCATTGCAATTTTTAATGTGAAAATATTATCCATAGTGGAGCGTCCCCTAAATCCCGCTTGTTCTTCGGGTTGTTTGTCTTTAATATCATTTGCTACCAGGTTTCGTAGTACTTTTGAGTATAGCCGGCCTATATTAGCAATCACTGCGATCCCTCTATAGTTTTTAGGATCCGTCTTTGTGCTTTTCTTGTGTATTGGACAGATATACGATTTTCTCCATTCTTCTGAAACTTCTCCGTTTAAGCATCTTTCGAATAATTTTCGGATCATTTTAAACAGTTTTGATGATCCATACCTAATCAAGTCTGGATGTATTCCGCCTGGGCCTGGAGATTTTCTTAATTTCATGCTTCTTCAAGAAGAAGAGCATACCTAATTTAATTCAGCCACATAGCTAGAAGAATGGGGATGATGAAACTATTGGTAGTAGAAGAAAAGGTAGAAGGCCAAGATGAAGATCTCCAACACGATGGGCAGACCAAATGAAGACTCTGGTGGTAAAATCCCTACATAAAGCCGTCCAATAGAGACAGCAAACTAATAATATTAAGAGTGTCACCACGCCCTGACAAGAGACAAAAAAGTTGTCTCCTATAAATTGAATAAATGTGACTTCTCAAATGAAAAAAATTATACGTTATTTCTTGCCTCTAATGCCGGAATTATTTAACAAAGACATGGAAAAAAGTTTTAAATATTTGTTATATTGGTATAATATAACAAGGTTGATGTCTTCAGTCCAATATCCGCCCCTTGGTACGCCTTGAAAATGAATACCTAGTCCCGTCTTTCACAATAAATACTTGATGAAAATTACTTAAATATACATTCTCCTAGCCCTGTACAAATTATAAATTATATAACAAATGCGGTTGACAACGGGAGATCGATTATAGCAGCTGAGCTCTGGCGAGTTTTTCTTTCACGATAGAGGAGAAAGGTTGGGAACTTTCCCATTGCGAAGCAACTAAAAGTTTGGAGAAATTACTGAAAAACCATTGGAATGCACACAAAAAAAGTTAAAAGGAAAAATAGAAAAACAAGAAAGGAATTATAGGCCAATCAATGAGAGCAAAAATAGGATATTACCCCGATTTTTTTCCTAATGCATCGATTTTGATGAAATTTTGGGAATAGGCTCAACTCACTTGCTAATTCAAAGTCTATAAATGTTTATTATTTTTTAGATCTGAAAACTACCCCCTATTGCCAAAATTAAATAAAACTAGTTGTAACGTAAATCAAAGTACTTTTTAGGCTTTAATAGCATTTGATGAACTTTAATATGTACATGTATTTTATACTTTAAGACATTATTGCTGGAAAATACAACAGAGGAGGACCAATGAAGGCCTTTAATAATTCTAAAAACTCTCCCTCTACACTTAAGATCCAATTTGAATCTTAATTTAAAAGTGGTGTGATGTAATACATCACACCACTGTAATACATCCAAAAACGCCTAATGCAATTATAAATTTTGAAAAAGCCTTCATTCAACCTGGAAAATAGACACAAATTATTTAAAATTATGAAAAAATACAAACAAAACAAAACCAAGAACAAAAGCAAGATTGTAGTATATCTCCAATGCTAGCCTGTTAGGTGAAACGCAAATTCAAGCTTACTGCAAGCTATTGGACGATGTTAGGAATAAACCTTTAGTCCGACAATACATGTACAGTTCACCCTGGAAAAACACTATCTTTTGTACTCTTTACGTAAAAGACGTTAAAGTAACAGAGTGCATTTTCCTTTCAACTCAAGCTTCACCATTGCTCTACACGTGTTTCGAAGTTATCACCTCTAATCATGACAGCAGAGTCTTAAACTTGTTTAGGCCTGAGCCTCTTCAAGGAATGGGTTACTCCTTTTTTTGTCTGAGTAGTGGGTGTGGTAAACGCCAATTACATGATATCCGATGTTAAGAAGTAGTGGACTACTAAGGAACAGGGGGAAGCAGAGGGTGGCTCGGGTGTGTGATCGACATAGGAGCGCACAAGAGGAAGTGGGAATTGCCTAGCATGCCAGTTTAGGTACTTCGGGGTCACCAGCCATACAGTAGGTTTTTGCACCTCTCAACAAAAAATGAA